CGTACTCAAAACCTCTACTTATTGATACTATGTTAAAAGTATGACTATCTCGTATAAAAAAACATAAAATCATATAATATTCAAAAAAAAATATAATTATATTATATATCAACAGTCTTATCTGATCGACATCGTTACGTTACCTCCATTGTTGATTTTTCTTACTTGGGAGAAAACAAAGATTCATTGAATACTTGTGTAGATAGATATAACTAAAATCTAGGGGGAACCTTTTCCCCACTTGTTGCTTCTAATAACATGATATATATACATTCACTAGTATAATTATTCTTCTCCACTATGTATATAATTCTCTAAGTTGAATATTCTAAACATTATTACTTTTTATTTCCAACATGATAATGATATATATCATGATAATATATACTTCTTTATTTTAGAAGGACCAAAAATTACATGATTAAAAAGTTTAGTCAACTAAACATTATACCAAGCGAAGCTACTTGGTTGATGCGTTTTTTTTGGGTTTCCCACCTGTATTTAATATCTCGAGTTGATTAATTTGAATACGTGAGTGTAAATAAAATAGTTCATAACAAAAGATGATTTTATAATCAAAAGAATTGAAATTTGAGACTTGTTATTTAAGGTTGAAGTAATATTTGTTATGTGATTAATATAACTATTGTAGAATTTAAAATTATATATCGTCCTTAAAAGTAATTCACATATAAGGTATATTTGGTAGGAAACAAGGTTTTTAAAAATAAGGAAAATGAGTATTTGAAAGTAGGAAAAATAAGTTTCATTAGTAATTTTTAAACATTATTGTCGATCTCCTCTCTATACTATATAAAAAATAATCTTTAGTTTTGATTAAGGGAAACTTATATAAATGTGCTATAATAAAAAAATATTTACCATTTATAGCAATAATATTTTTTTTACTTGATCACTTTTAATTCATTTATAATGCAAGTTTAATACATATTACAAAGAACAATTTATTATTCACATACAATACAAGTTTTAATGATGGATAATACATTTATCACACATTTTAATACACTTATAACACAATGTGACAATTTTTTACCAAACAAACACAATATATTTCAAAAACAATTATAATTCAAATATATTACATAAATAATTTACTTTTAATACATATTACAGATTTATCACACTATTGCTATAAATGGTAATAAATAAAAGATATCGTTAAAATCAGTAATTATTTTTTAAAATATATTAATTCATGTAATTTTTTCTTTAATTAAGTAGCTTTTGTAGTGTAAATTAGACCTAAGACCTCATTTTACGGTTCAATTATATGCTACGTACCTTAATAAATAATAACGGCCAAAACGCTACTAATTAATGAGTTCATCAAAATTTGGAGGCTAACAAAGAGAAGCTACGCCAAACTGTTTGGTCCCCAAGATATATGATGTAAGTTGTAATTTAAATTCGATTGTTTGATTTTATGTTTTATTTATTTTTTCTAATATAAATAAAACTTATAATAAATAAAAATAAGGTTAAACTTTTAACATTTGAACATAATTTGGGTTTATATATATATATATATATATATATATATATATATATATAATAATAATA